TTCTTTTCCCTGTACGATTTAAAAGGCAAACACAGAAAAGAATGCACAGAAAAGGAATGATGGGAATCAAAATAGTACACTACAAAAAATCAACTAAATACCAAAAAAAGGCAGTACTGGAAGAATTGAGGAACTAAAAACATGCAGTACACAGAACAAACAGCTAAAAAGAAGAAACAATCATCCTATATTAGTAAGAACATTAAAGAGAAATTTATTAAAAATCTTCCAGTAAATGAAAAAGATTGACAGATTCAATAAGAAAATCAGTATCCACCTGTAAGCTGTCTACAAGATATTGAATAAACCTATAACTAGCAGAAGAAAAGAAATTATAGAGATGGAATCAGAAATAAATAAGAGAATAGCAAAACAGTAGAGAAAATCAATAAAACCAAAAGTTGATTCTTTGAGAAGAATAATAAAATTCCCACATCTTTAGCTTAGATTGATGAAGGAAAAGATAGACTATTTAAATTACTAAAATTATAAGTGCGCATAGGGTCATTACTACCAATTTTGTAGAAATCAAAAGATTATAGGAGAACACTATGAATAGTTGTATGCCAACAAGTTAGATAATATAGATAAATCAGACAAATTCCTGGAAACACACAATCAACTAAAACTGATTCAAGAAGAAATAGAAAATCTGAATAGACCTGTGACTAGTAAGGAGACTGAATTAAGTAATCAAAAATATTCCATGGGGCGCCTGGGTGGCTCAGTCGTTAAGTGTCTGCCTTTGGCTCAGGTCATGATCCCAGGGTCCTGGGATCGAGCCCCGCATCGGGCTCCCTGCTCCGCGGGAAGCCTGCTTCTCCTGCTTGTGCTCCCTCTCTCGCTGGGTCTCTCTCTGTCAAAATAAAATAAAATAAAATCTTAAAAAAAAAAAAATTCCAACAAAGAAAATCCCTGGACCACATAGCCTTACTGGTGAATTCTACTGAGATGAATGATTTTATGTGTCAGCTTGACTGGCCACTGGGTGCCCAGATTAAGCATTATTTCCAGATGAGACTAACATTTGAAATGATGGACTCAGTAAAGCAGATTGCCCAGTTCACTTTAATATTCATATGGATCTCAAGGGACCCTGAATAACCAAAACGATTTGAAAAAGAAAAAAGTTGGAGTTCTCACACTTTCTGACATCAAAATTTGGTAGAGAACTGCAGTAATCAAAACAATATTGATACAAAGACAGACATGGAGATGAATGGAATCTAGGACTCAGGAAGAAGACCTCATGTATATAGTAAATTGATTTTCAACAAAGGTGCCAGGACCATTCGATGAAAGGACAATCTTTCCAACAAAAGGCACTCAGAAAACTTGATATCCACATGGAAAGGGATGAAGTTGGACCCTTACCCCAAATAAAATTTAATTCAAAATGGATCAAATAACCAAATGTAACTCTTAGAAGAAAACAGAGGGGAAAAATCTTTATCCTGTTGGATTTGACAATGATTTCTTAGATGTGACACCAAAAACACAGGCAATAAAAGAAAAAAAATAGATACATTAGACTTCATCAAAATTTAAAACTTTCATACATCAAAAGATTGTATCAACAGAATGAAAAGGTAGCCCACATATTTGCAAGCATATATCTGATAAGGGGTATATCTAGAATATATAAAGAACTTCTGTGACTCAACAACAACAACAAAAAGCATTTTAAGAGTAGGCAAAGGATTTGAAGAGACATTTCTCCGAAGTGGTATACAAATGACCAATAAGCACATGGAAATATTCTCAACATCATTAGTCATTAGGAAAATGCAAATCAAAATCACACCAGACACCACTTCACAGCTTTTAGGGTAGCTGTTACATTTTTTTTTTTTTAATATTTATTTATTTGACAGAGACACAGTGAGAGAGGGAATACAAGCAGGGGGAGTGGGAGAGGGAGAAGCAGGCCTCCCGCTGAGCACGGAGCCCGATGCGGGGCTCGATCCCAGGACCCTGGGATCATGACCCAAGCCGAAGGCAGACACTTAACGACTGAGCCACCCAGGTGCCCAGGTAGCTGTTACATTTAAAAACAACAATGGAGCTGCACAGAGGGCGTGTCCAACTGCTTCTCAATCACATTTCCAGTCTGTTTTCCTTTTTTGTAGTTTCGTGCCTTACCCTTCCTTCCTCAATGCTGGTGATTCCAGTTCTTGAGCATTTCTGGTGTTTGCAGGAAGATCTGAACACCTGTCTTCAGTGTGCTATTGGCAAGCACTTGAGTTTTACCTTTCTTTGCCCTGCCAAAGTCAGTTTCCATTTTTTTTATCCATCATCCATCATTTGCATATGGTTTTATATGGTTTAAGTTTCATTTGAGATAGAATTTGAGTTCATCTTTCTTATCCTCCTTGTTTTGGGGGGTTATTTCTGGAAAAGACATTGTGAAGTAAAAGGTTTTTACTCTGCCATCTTAAAACCAGAAGTCGTGACTTTCTTGGTGGTGCTTACTTATTCCAAATATGGAGATCATAATTCTTCCCTGTGGTAATTTTCAGACTCTATCCCTCATTGCTTTCTGAAAGTGTGACATAAGGGATTTATATGGGATATTATGCTGGTAAATACTATTGGGACAGTGACCTTAGGCATAGGTTCTCTCCATTTCCATTTCCTTCTCCTTGAAGGTGAATGGGTAGAATGAATTGCTATCTGAGGCTACTCCCACTTCTAAAATTTCATAATTCTAAAATTTAAAGCCAAGTCATTGCAGATTTAAAATACTTAAAACTTTTAGTACAGTCATGTATTCATTATACTGTGCTAGGCAATTTATAACCAATTTGCTGGGGGTGCTGGGGCAGGGGGATGTTATTTTAAATCACTATGTCTTAAATGTGCTATCTGTAAAGTAGTAGTACTTTACTTTGAGGATTGAAGAGAGGAGTAGGCATTCATTCAAGAAATAAACTTGGCTTATTATTTATAAACTAGGTTCTGATAAAAGAGAGAAACCAAAACAATTAGCCTTATTTATTTGCTTTTGTGAAAAACTGTCCTGTCCTATATTAATAGTGCCTGGGCTCTCTCCAGTTACTAAAAGTAACAATAGGAACATGGCAGTTTAATTCTGAAGATTAATAAAATAACATTTATCTCATATCCTAAATTGTTCCTTTGTTACACTTATTATACACGACAGCTTATCAACTATTATAATGCATAAACTCTCATGATGATCATACACGTTAAATCAATGCCCAATTATCTGTGCTAATGAAAGCGAGCAGTGTCACAGATCATCTGCAGTAATGATCAACTACAATTAATAATTCAGAATGTTACCTACTCCTTATTAACATTAAGTCACTGAGCTCTGTTCTATCTCTCCTCACTGCACTACTTCAGTGGTCGAAAAGAAGTAATCCATTTTCCACATAAGGATGCACACATACCCATGCACACACTACTTTACAGCTGCTCTGGTGGCTGTTTTTGAAAATTCCCAGTAGGTGGCATTCATGAACTAAGGCTTTCCTGAAGAAGAGAAAAGAAGTGGTTATAATAATAACTAGTGTTTACTGTTTACATATATTGTGTTATTTAATCCTCACAACTTTACAAAGCAGGTACTATTATTATCCCCACTTTATAGATAAGTAAACAGAGGCATGAGTTTAAATAACTTACCAAATTCACAGAATTAATAGGTTACCAAACTAAAAATCATAATCCCAACCTTGAAGGAAATAATAAGGATATATACTTGAATATGTAAATGAGGAGGAATTAATGGTTAGTGGTCACCCAGTATATATCAGGTGTCATGCCAGGTCCTAGGAACACAAAGACTGAACTTCCTTCAGGAATTTATAGTTTCATATAGAAACTAAATAATAATACAATATAGTAAATGCAGTACTAAAGAGATTCTAGGATGTTAGAAGAGTGCCTAGAACTGTATAAATCCAGTCTAGCAAGGAAGAGCATAAACGAGGTTGGAATGAGCCTCCAAGTGGAAGTGCTGGTGTGTGGAAAGACCAGGAGTCTAGAAAATGCAGTGAATGTAGGGGACTCTGTCCTCCTGTTTGGACTTGCTGTAGCATGAAATGTTAGGCAGGGCACCACGGAAGTGGAGTTGGAGAGGCAGCAAATGGCTAACAGTGGATGAACTGGATTAGGACCTTGGAGTTATCTTGGAGTTGGAGGGGAGGTGATGCATTTTAAAGAGGGAAGTAATGTGATTAGATACGTGTTTTCTTTAGGTCAAAATGGATGGCTGTGTAAGGAGTGGATTGAGGTCAACTTGTCCAAGTTTTAGGGCTGTCATTTAAACCCTGATTTAATCTAACTCCAAAGCTGGTAGCTGTACCATCAATTTGAGTAGGAGTGAGGCTATCTGTCTTTGAAGTCATCAGGTGAATAGAAGGAAGAGTCTAAAAGGAAATGAGAAAAACATTCAGTTATTTCCTAGTCTTTAATTTCTTCAAATTTTGTTTTCTTAGATATTTGTAACAGTCTTTTGAAATCCTGGTCATGATTACTTATTTTAGAAAAAAAATCCATTTCTTTTTAAGAGGAAAAACAGGATGAATACAATTCTTTTTTACTCTGTCTTTAGAAATCTAATTGTTCACACACAAGGTCAAAAATTGCCTCATGGGTACTAAATTTGCAAGCCTACATTTCTAATCCTTAGGGTACTAAACCACAGTATAAAATTATGGCAAAGATAATGATAATGTTTAAAATAGAATGCAGTGGTCTTTAGCCAAACAGGTTAAGTGTTCACATAAAATCTAAATAAGGCATGAACTAGATTGAAGGACTCTTAAATTTAAATTTTCTAATATGCATCTGATAGATAATAATGAAGGAAAGTGTATATATGCTATTGTGAATAATAAAGATCTAATCAAAGGTCAAAAAGTGTTTGAAAAAAACTTGAACGATACTATAGATATATAACTTTATAAAACTGATCATCACAGATTGTTTCTATTTCATCTCTGATTTTATATAATTCATTTCTTTTATAGGCCTACACAAGTGAAATGGCAGCTGATGGTAGCTAGTTGTTTTAGAAGAAGTGGTAAATGCTTTAATTTTATTCATTTTTTATATATTTTGCTTCTTTATGTCTTTTAGGTAATTATGCACATAACTGTTTTCCAACTGCATATTTGTTTATTAAAACATTAGCTTTTGATTACTACACATATTGAAGCATTATATGAGAAACATAATAATTACTACATACAGAAAAAAGTTATGCTTACAAAGTGGGTCACCATTATTAAGAGAGTCATTATTTTTCAAAGTTAACATGTAATCATTTTGACAAGTTAGTCACAGAAAAATAGACATTTTATACATATTAGTTTACATTTCCATTTTCTGTTCACCTAATTCTAAACATCCTTGTATGCTCGGCCAAACTTACGAGACTGTCTCACACCTGAGAAGCCTGAAGAAGGCCCTGAACTGGAACAACTGGGGCTGTGTTTTCTATACCAAAGACCACTAGGTATCTCTGTGTTTTCGGGAACTGTTTTTATTCCATCCTGTACTGCTGACACTTGTCCTGAAGCATGGAGCATGGAGATGTTAGTATTGTTGGACTAACCATGAAGTGAATGATACTCTTAAGACTCTCATCAGAGGGCGCCTGGGTGGCTCAGTTGTTAAGCGTCTGCCTTCGGCTCAGGTCATGATCCCGGGGTCCTGGGATTGAGGCCCGCATCGGGCTTCCTCGTCCGCAGGAAGCCTGCTTCTCCCTCTCTCACTCCCCCGACTTGTGTTCCCTCTCTCGCTGTCTCTCTCTCTGTCAAATAAATAAATTAAAAAAAATCTTTAAAAAAAAAAAACTCTCATCAGAGATTAAGCAAGGAGATAAATGTTAATAGATTTGTAATCCCTCTTGTAGAGCCTACAAATGATCTAGGAAAAAAATGCCTCAATCCAAAGGGAGCACAAATGTGACAGTGTTAACAGTGTTCTCATCCTGTTTTGTAGGTCTCTTTCTTTACCTCTGTGAGCTCCTTCAGAATGGCATCAGAATATATACACAGAGGAGTCCTCAAATCATTTAGATATTGATCTTTGCTGTTACTGTAGTTGCTATGAGATCTGTAACATCACTGTACTGTATGTACATGTTACCGATATCAGAGTGAGTTCTGAGTTACCAGTGTTCATTAGTGTCAGTCATAGGTAAGACATACATACATATGAGGTATTCGGAGTGATTTAAGACAGAACCTCCCTTGTGTTACGGAAGTACAGATTAGAAGAAGAGAAGCGGACGTTAGTGAGAGCCACTGGATGCTGGGTACTTCCTGTCTCAGTTGTATCCAGTTCTCACCACAGCTCTTGGAGGGTCAGCATGGCTGGCCCTTGTGTAGAGTGGGGCCCAGACAGATTCATTCCTTGTTTACTGAGATTTTAGCAAAGATCCAAAATTCATTTTTCCCTGTTCTTTACTGCTATGAAGCAGTATTGTATTATATTTATTGTATTATAAAACAAAATGCTTTCTGTAAACTTTTTAATGTTTCAAAATAAAAACTACTGGAAAAGGTTATTTTTCATCTTTTCCCAACTAAGTGAATGATACTGAAATTAATGTTAGCTTATCACTTAAATTATTTTTAAATTTGTCAGTTCTTTTTTTTTTTGTTTTTTTGTTTGTTTTTTTTTTAAAGATTTTATTTATTTATTTGACAGAGAGAGACACACTGAGAGAGGGAACACAAGCAGGGGGAGTGGGAGAAGGAGAAGCAGGCCTCCCGCTGAGCAGGGAGCCTGATGTGGGGCTCGATCCCAGGACCCTGGGATCATGACCTGAGCCGAAGGCAGACGCTTAATGACTGAGCCACACAGGCGCCCCTATATCATGGACTTTTAAATTACCTGAGAATAGTTAAAACTATAAAAGCTAATCTGTTTTTTAGCTAAAAATC